CCGGGGTCAGTCTGGCCAGTAGGACCTTCTTTACCAGGTCATAATCCCTCAGCCCGTCTGTTAGCACAGCTCTTTAGGCGTTGGCAGCCTTACCGATTAACTTCCGGGCTAGCAGGAGACCCAATCAGAGGGATCAATTTCATGCAGGAGGCAGAGTCTTTAAAAATCTTGGAGGAAGAGTAAACGCTTTGAACGATGTGTATTGCACCTTGGACTTCAGGTCAGCAAGTGCCGCACTCACTGGGGCCACCTTCGCTGCCTTGCCCGGCTGTACCAGGATGTAGGTCTGGACCTCCAAGATGGTCCTGGCCATGATCTCCTGGGATGGGCTTCCTCCATAGTATGCTAGGCAACGGGCCATCTCCTCATCGAAGGGATCCCTCTCAACCTCCGTTTGTGGGGCCGCAGCCCCACCAATCTGTAGATCATCCTCCATGAGGGTGGAAATCAAATCAGCCTTAGGTCGGGTACTGGCTGGCTGCCTGCCCTCAGCTGCCAATATCTCCTGTAGCATTTGCCTCTTTAGTTTTGTGTAGTTCATGGATTGGTTCGTCTAATGAACGCTGGTTCCATTTCGCTGGGTACTCAATTACTCATCCCACTGCTTGCCACCAGTTGTAGCAGACCACGGGTAACCCAACCGATTACCTCCACTAATTCCTTCCTTCAGCCGCTCAGGAACCACTAATAGTAATATAAAGATACCCATTTACCCCCCAGTAACTGGACAACACACAGTTCTGGAGGTACAACACAATTTTATTGAGCCACACACGGCTTTTTAACATAGCGCCATGCAAGGGGTCTTCCACTCACACCAACAGGGGTCATATCCCAGGATCCTCTACACCAGGGAGCCCGAACACGGGAATGGGAGATCTCTGTCCCTTTGTCTCTCAAATATGGAAAGCCTGCCACTCAGGCAAGGGGTTTCCCACCCACGGCTACATGGGGGTCTTCATCCCAGGAGCCTCTGTTCTTGGGTGCCAAAGCCCAGGAAAATAGACCGTCCATTTGTCTTCCAGACACAGGAAAGCCCGCCAAATCAGCCAGTGCCCCAAAAGTGTCCAAACCAACCCCAGGCGACCTCAGACTGGCACATTCTCTGGGCAATCTCCGTTCGTGAGATTCCTGTGCTGAAACCTGCAAGGGAAGAGTCTCCTTTCGGGGTATGAATGCTTCCTCTTGTTAGCATCCACCTAGGGGAGCACTCATAAATTACTCCCTTGTGGTTTCACACTAATGTTGCCAGTGCGAAAGTTGCGGTTTCACATTTGTAGCGAGTGTGAACGTTCTAATTAATTGGTGGGAGCTTTCTCAAGGGCACTGGGGTGGTCCTTGTTCGGGAGACGAATGAGTTGGGAAGCAATCCATGAATGCTCCCCCTGGCTGGCGTCCGTCTGTATGAAATGGAGGCCACCGAGGGGAGCACTCATTAATTGTCTCCTTTACGGTTTTGCAATAATGCCAGAGGTGAGAATGTTCTACTTGAACGTCCTACTAGCATTCTAAATGGGATATCAGGGTGGTCCCCGTTCAGGAGTCGAAGGAGTTCCTTTAGTTGTTTCCCAAATGGAGAGCGGGTAAAATAGACGATGGGCAAGGGAAAAACACAGTGAAAATATGAAGTACCCGAATAAGAGGTGGTTACGCCACAAATACTTTCTGATATTTTATACATATTGCAAATTGTGACGGAGCTCCAGTACTCCGACTGAGTACCTCCACCAAGTCTCCTTCCTCGTAGCTATCAGGGACCCTGGAGCACTTCAAACGCAGTTGCCGAGGCTTGACTGGGATCACTGAGTGCCTTTTCCACCCTGACCAAACACCAGACAACACTTGGTGAAGGTTAAAACAACAACTAACTTTAATAGTCATAGCACACACATTTAAGCCCCCAACAGCCCCCATTTACATACAATCAGGTACATAGAGCACTATATTACAAGGAAGGGTGGGGTCAGGCAATAGCAAGGGCTGATGGGAGATTGAGGGGGGCAGAGCAGCTAGTTTAAACTGGTCTGGCAGTGTCCTAGGGACAACGCCCTGTTGGGGAAACAATAGGACAGGAAAAAGGGAGAGGGGGAGAGGCACAGACAAGCAATACATTTAACATACCCTGCACCAATAATGGGCACAGGGTGATCAAATCACAAAAGGAATCTGGGGACCCATATATAGTGTCTGTCTTCCGCCCCCAGTGACTGTGACTACCGTCACACAAATATATATTTTTTTAAATATGTCTCCACACCTTTTTCTATGCATTTTGAAACTATATATTCTGAAGTTACCCATCTTTTCATTGGTGATGGAGCTAGTATTGTGTACACGTAGCTCTTCTCCTAGTTTCCATCCCTCCAGTATGAATGAAATTGGTGGGGAAACCACCTTTAAAAAAAATGAAATATTCATACCGTGATATTTCTGTAACATCTCAGGTAGCCTCATTCCTGTTTATTACTATTGATGTAAAACCACCAAACAGTGGCGTATTAAGAGTGGGGTGGGGGGAGAGGGGTGTGGCCCGCCTCGGGTGCCATTCACTAGGGGGGTGCCATGATTGCCAGCATCATGATTCACCCCCCATCAATTCTTATAGCGCGTGCCACTGCACCTTTGCTGCCCACTATACTGCACTGAGTGCAGTAATATGGAGGAGCAGGGGAAGGAGTGTTGTGGCGCCGCTCAACGTGATGCCGTCACACCGACATGCGCTGCTGCCGCCTGTCTGCCTTCACGGATCTCCAAGAGCGGAAGGATCCGATTGACGTGAGACACCAGTGGTCGGAGCAGAGCAGGTCAGCACAGAGGCATCATCAGATGTGAGTAGAGAATTTTATGTGAAGGGGTCAGGGTTGCAGGTTTATTTTTAATTAAGGGTGGTATGCACTTTATGTTAAGGGGGGTGCAGTGTTTTTTTAATTAAGGGGGGTATGCACTTTATGTTAAGGGGTGCACGCTTTTTTTTTTAATTAAGGGGATATGCACTTTATGTTAAGGGGATGCAGGGTTTTTGTTTTATTAAGGGGGTATGTACTTTATGTTAAGGGGTGTAGGGTTTTTTAAATTAAGGGGGGTATGCACTTTATGTTAAGGGGTGCACATTTTTTTTTAATTAAGGTAGGTAAGCACTCTGTGTTAAGGGAATGGGGTGCAGGATTTTTATGTGAAAGGGGTATGAATTAGATGTGTAAGGGGGTGCAGAATTTTTATGTGTAGGGGTATATGAACTTTGTGAAGTGGCTAAAGGGTTTTTGTGTGTAGGGGGTACAAGGTTTTAATGTGAAGGGGTATGAATTTGATGTGTAGGGGGGTGCTTCATTTTTATGTGTAGGGGCTGTATGAACTTTGTGAAGTGAGTGCAGGGTTTTTATATCTGGGGGTTTATGAACTTTATATGATGGGTGCAGGGTTTCTATATGAAGGGGGCATGAATTTGTTGTGTAGGGTGGGATCAGGGTTTTTATGTACAATAAATATTCTTAAAACATTGAATTTTTTGTTTTTAAATTTTTAAAAGGGGGGTGCAAAACACTGTGTCCGCCCCGGGTGACAAATGCTTTAGGTACGCCCCTAGGTGCAAATAAGGTAAAGTTTATTTGGATATTCAATATAGTATCTATCTATCTATCTATCTATCTTTGGTTCATCTATCCAAATTAACTTTACCTTATTTGCACTGCACTGTGATGCCTATTGATATCTATTTTTAACCTTAAAGGCACACTACAGTGCCAGGAAAACAATCCATTTTCCTGGCACTGCAGGTCCCCTCTCCCTCCCAACCCCCATCCCCGGTTGCTGAAGGCATGAAAACCCCTTCAGTCACTTACCTGAGACCCCGCCGATGGCCCTTGGCGGTGGTTTCGGGTCGCCGCCGCTCCTCCCCTTCCTTACGTCAGCCAGTGGGCAAGACTGATCCTGCCGGCCGACCGGGGAGACCTAATGCGCATGTGCGGCAATGCCGTGCACACGCATTAGAGCCCTCCATATGGGGAAATGAGCGACGCTGGAGGTCCTCACACAGCGTGAGGATGTCCAGCAACGCTCTAGCACAGAAAACCTGTGCTATAGACACGGAAGTGCCCTCTAGTGGCTGTCTAGTAGACAGCCACTAGAGGAGGAGTTAAGCCTGCAAGGTAATTATTGCAGTTTATAAAAAACTGCAATAATTACACTTGCAGTGTTAAGGGTAGTGGGAGTTGGCACCCAGACCACTCCAATGGGCAGAAGTGGTCTGGGTGCCTGGAGTGTCCCTTTAAGAGACTTCAACCAAAACTCTATATACAAGTTGTAAAGTTCCAAGTGCCACGCTCCACCACAGCCCTGTGTGGATGTGATAATGTTGAGAATTAAAAACCAAACAAAAAACTTTTGGAACTAGAGAGCCTTTGTGAATATTCCTTCTCTTACTTCACTCTATACATAGGAAGATTGTGAACATTTTTATTGCCTGACAGCAACTGTGAATTATCCCATTTCATTCATATGATGGCTTAGTAGGAAAGGCAATTCAAATTAATATTCATCTTTTGGGCAAACATTGACCATTTCATGTATATTGTTTGTTTTTGTTTTTATCAGAATGTGAATGTTCAAAAGAAGTTGCACAGCTAAGGCATCTTACATTTTTACATCTTGCAATTTTAAAAATCACATTATTTGTCATTTAGATGTATACCCAATCCATTTCTACATGTATGCTTCTCAGATCACCATTGTACAGTGCTAACAGGCAAGTGAGTGAGTGTCATTTTTCATCAATGTAAGCTATTTCCTTCTCACAGTTTAAATATACCAATCTCATTATCCTCTTCTTACAGGACTTTTGGGACATATGATAAAATTCTCAAGATCTGCTTATATAAAGTCTAACTTAAAGGGACACTATAGTCACCCAGACCACTTCAGCTCAATGAAGTGGTCTGGGTGCAATGTCCCTCAGGTTTTAACCCTTCAGATGCAAACATAGCAGTTTCAGAGAACATTTGCGGTTAATGCTTTCCTATTGACAGCTTGAATGTGTTATCTTCACGGCTGGAAGTCGTTACAGGATCGAATCCTAGGAACGGAACTGTTTGAGAGTGTTCCAGTGCCGACTTGGCACGATTGAACACGAAGCCCAACGATTCCAGAAGTTGGACCGTGTAGACTTTGTGATCCTGTAGCGTCCTTCTGTCCCCGTCGAAAATAAGGATATCATCCAGGTAGATGATATGTCGCACCCCGTGGGTCCAAAGGTGTGTCACCACGGATTTCAGCATTTTTGTGAAGCACCAAAGGGCTAAGCTGAGCCTGAACAGAAGGCAGGTGAATTGCCAATCGGTCTTGTGCCAGAGGAAGCTAAGATAGGGATGGCTTAACTCACGAATAGGGATTGTCAGGTAAGTATCTTTCAAGTCTAGGCAGGTGAACCAGTCATTGTCCCAAAGCAAGTCTCGAAGGAGGTGAATACCCTCCATCTTGAAGTGTCTGTAAACAACGTGGGTGTTTAATTATCGTAGATTGATGACTGGACGGAAGTCTCAATTCTTTTTCTTGTATTGCTCCTTTTGAGCGCAGCCCCTCAGCTCCGAGTCAATCAGTTGCGTTTCCGCGTTTGCTATTCAAAGCGGGTGAGGAGGCCAAAGTTAGACCGTTGAATCCTCTAACTCTATTTGGTAGCCCCAAACGGTTTCAAGAAACCAGGCATTCGTGGAAAAGTCTGTCCAATTCTGAAAAAAATGAGAGGCCGCCTGCGATTTGAACATTTATTATAGGTAATGTAAAGTGGGGACTTACCGGAGGTGAACCTTGTTCGGGAGCATCCTCTGCCACATCGGCCATAGTCCGAGCCCCTGGAGTAGAGGAACCTCTGGCGGCTTCCTGCCTCCAGATAGAACGGCTGTGTCCAAGTTGTACTGGGGCCTGATGGCCAGAACCGGCTGACGGCATTGCTCCTTTGCTGAACAGCCCTGCCAATAACACCTCTGCCTTGAGATCCACAAAAGACTCCCCGCATAGAGGACTGTGTCTTGTTAAGCCAGGTAAAGAAATTCACCCGCTTATTGAGCTCCTTTAGGAATAAGGTGTTCTGAATGTAAAAGCTTCTAGAAAGTGGGAGTTGAGTTCTGTCTGGAAAGTGCTATAGTAGCAGCTGGAAAACCCGTCGGGGCCCGAGCTCTTATTTGGTGGTGTGGTGCATATGGCTAGGATGAGTTCATCTTCCGTTATGGGTTCATCTAATATTTGTGTTGCAGATGTCGGTAAAGTCAAGTGTCAAAGTTCGGTTACAGTCTAGTTTATCCAGGTACGTGTGCGAATTCGATTACAAATTGTATAGAGATTTGTTGGAATAATATATTTTTATTGACATCTCACTCACACTTTCAAGAGTTATATAGAGCTCTGCTGTTGAAGGTGTGGATGGTGTATTCCCTGTCTAAGGATGTAAACATAGCAGTGGTAATGGTGCAATCAGCAGTGATGATGGTGCTTTCCTTTAGTAGAGTGTGCTATGAAAAGACATAGACAAGAACATCCAGTAGTGTAATATGTTTAGTACTATATGTATCTTCAAAAAAAGTAAAAGATATCTCATTCACATTTTTCAGAGCACGGATCTGCTCTAGTATGATGGAGCTTTAGTGGTATGATCCCCACTTGGGATATGCAGGTTCAGAATTGCAGTAAAATTCAGGAAACCAAAGAAGGAGTATAGAGTAAATACCAAATAAATAATAAAATTTACAGGAATAAACTTTATTTATATATATTTCAAATCCAAAAAGGGTAAAGATAGGTGCTAGGGTTAGCACTAAGATAGTGGTTATTGGGGCACTCATCGTGGTGTGCAGGCCCAACCTCCATCAAGGTAGGTAAGGGTGTAGGCTGCAGCGGGGGATGCAAGTCCAAGTATTGATGCATGGGTGCCAGGCTGCATCCGGCGGACCCCCTATAGGGATGTGCACTATTGGTATCTAATCAACAAAACAAAATTAATTCCCTATTCCCCCAGGTATATTCAGACCAGTAGGGCTAGGTGGTGTATGATGGGGGACTAAGGATTGAGCTGTGTATGCAAGATTAACCAAAGTCACAGCTACTGTAACTCCACAGGTGTATTCAATGTTGTTGCTGTAAGCCTGTAAGGTAAAGAAGAGATTTATGAGCATATACAGCATGCATGTTGAAACTGGTCACCATAGCCTTCATAAAGAAGAAGCTCCCCCTGGACCCAGCATCCAGCATCCAGCATTAGCCCACCACCGAGATTACCAACAGGGGGTACAAACCAGCACAGGATATAGACTGGCCCAGTGGAAGTGCCTTAGCATGATATTGAAGACATATAAATAGAGCATGGGAGATAGTAATAGTCAGCATTGGGTTGTTCGCAATCCGTGAGCACAGGCCAGCGGGATGCAATTTCCCAAAAACAACTTGGTTTGTTTAACAACATTACAGGTACAATCTACAGGGTCTCAAACAAATAATATAGAAATATATTATGATTGCTAACACTTTCCTTGCATGCTTATGGTGTGTGCTTGTGTTTAGTGAGCCTTAACAGATAAATATAGGTGTAAAATATGTCCTTGCAATAAAAATCTGCCTCAGCAGATTGGACCTTAGCATACAGCCTGATACTGGTTTCTAAGAGTCCCGAGATCTCCCGCTGGGAGTGCCGGTGTTGTCAGTGACAGTCTGCGCTTTGTGAGGCTTTTTCCTCGGCTTTGACATTTTGCCACCTGGATCTTTGCGGCATTGCTACCTTTTGTGGTGGTTCCGTGGGTAAATACCAGTTCTGAATGTCCAGGTGTGGGAGGTTTAATTTAAATAGGAATTAAGGGACATTGTTCACCGTGTTGAGTGTAACATTAGATTCATTGAAGCTGTCACTGAGAATGGGTAGCCCCAACGGTATTTAATGTTTCTAATGTCCTTGGAGAGTGGTCCTGGACAGGTCTTGAAAATCTGGATTTGGCTGTTTTCTGTCCAAAGATGGGAGCTGTATGTGATTTCCTCATAATTTCCTCTTTTAGATGGAAGTAATGCACTCGACAGATTATATCCCTAGGTGAATCTTTTGCCAGCCTTCTAGGCTTAAGTGCGTGATGGGCTCTGTCCATTTCTATCGGAGACTCCGGTGAGCATTGTAGGATGTTATTAAAGACCTTAAAGACAACCCATAGGGTTTAAAAGAGATCTTCTTGTGGCTCAGATGATTCTGGGAGGCCTCTTATGCGAGGTTGTTTCTCCGGCCTCTGTTATCCAAATCTTCTAAGTGCCTCATAATCCCGTTGATTCTCACCCAAGGTGAATCTTTTTTTTTTTTTTTTTTTATAGTTTATTTAATTATTATTTTCCTTTTATATCAAACATATATATATATATATATATATATATATATATATATATATATATACATATCATACATTGCGTGCATATCATACAATGCATATAAAGTAAATACAATAAATAAAGAAATACATATAGACTAACAAACATATAACAAAGTTGACCATCCTGTCCTATACATTCAGCTCTACCCTTAGATTACATAAAGTTAGATTAAATTTCCGCTCCTTCAGAGATTACCAATGAATTACTGCACAATATATACATTCTAATATTTAATTCTCAAGGACCTTTATCCAATCATCCCAGATCTCATATTGTCTAATATTAATACTTAAATTAGAGGCTATTCCCCTTTCCATTTTGCATTGAATAATAATAGATGCCTTAATTTGTGGCCATGAATCAATTGTTGTCCTTTTCCAATTTTTTGCAATAGCCATTTTAAAGGCCATCAAAGCCTGAATCAACAGATCTCTCTTATCGTTAGTTAATTGCGGTAAATTTAAATGTAAAAGCAAGTTGTCTGGGGTCCAAGAATGGGTTATATCCAGCAATTTATTTACTTGGTCCATAAATTAAACCCATGCTTCCTTAATTGGTGCGCAATCCCACCATATATGTAATTCATTTGCTCCCTCATTTCCGCATCTCCAGCATCTAGATATCCCTGCCTTTGCAAATTTCTGGATCTTATTGGGAGTCATGTACCATCTATTAAGTATTTTAAAATGTGCTTCCCTAATATTTAGACAGTGTATCGTGGAATAGACTGATTGTAAAGCCTTATACCATTCCTTTATATCAAATTTTATTATCAAATCTCTTTCCCATTTACTTTTAGCTATAGGATAAACAGGTCTTTTTATAGCTTTTATAATCTCAACGCATCTAGTTAGTATTTTAGTATTTTTCTCTGAGTCTATCAAAACATTTAGTTTAGATAATGAGAAAGAACTCATGTTGCTTCCAAGAGCGCTTTGCACAAAGCTTTTAATTCTGATATAATTAAACGTTTGTAAATACGAAATACCATAGATTCTGCGTATCTCAGCGAAGGGCATAATCTTCCCATCTACTAATAGATCAGCTAATTTTTTAACACCAAGTCTAGTCCATTCGGACGTATCCATATTTTCCATCCATGTATCTAGATTTTTGAAGGTCAGAGCAGGTAAAACTTTATTTTTCAAGTCTAAAAGATTTTTAAGATGTAGCCAGAACTTTAAGAGCGGTCTAGTTATCAAATTATCCATCGTGCATCTTATATTTTTAGTTCTACTATTATTTCTTATGGCCCACATTAATCTAACATTATTGTATGGATCTGTAATATCTGCACCTTCTATTTTAAACCAATCTTGTGAACACGAATACTGCTTAATTAAAGGAAGAGTATGCATCAACTGTGCCGCTTGATGATATAAAAAAATATTTGGAAAACCGATCCCTCCTTCCTTATGCTTCAAGTATAAGAGATCCTGGCCTATTCTAGGTTTCTTATCAGACCAGATATAATCCCTGAATAACTTATTCACAAGTCTAAGCCGTTGGGGGTGGATCTGTAGAGGAATCATCCTCAATAAGTAAATAAACTTAGGGAAAACATATGACTTAATAAAATTAACCCTTCCCTACCATGATAACTGCAAGGTGTTCCATTGTTTCAGAGAGTGAGTACATTCTCTAATAAGAGGAATTACATTGGCCTTCATTGTATTCTCTGGGTCTTTCACTATATTGATTCCAAGATATACAAATCCCTTTTTTTCCCATTTAAAGGCAAAATGTTATTTTAGCTGTTGCAATTCTTTTCCTTCCACATAAAAGGGTAATGCCAATGTTTTTTGAACATTAAGTTTATAATTTGACAAGTAACTATATCTTTCAATTACTTGCATGGCAACTGGAACTGACTTACTTGGGTTGGTTAGCGTTATCAAAGTATCATCGGCATATTGACTTATCTTGAAATCTTTATCCCTTTTTAAAACCCAGTTATATCCATATTATTACGTATTTCGTGTGCTAAGGGTTCAGCCGTTAGGATATACAATAGTGGGGAGAGAGGGCATCCTTGACGGGTACCATTTGATAGCATAAACCACTCTGACTTAATCCCCCCTCCTACTATCCTGCTAGATGGTGAAGAGTAGCAGGCCATTATCGCCGAAAGAATCTGGCCAGAAAATCCAAAAGCTTTTAACGTTGAATACATAAAATTCCAGCCGACCCTATCGAATGCCTTTTCTCCGTCTAAGGCCATCGCTAAGAAAGGGGTTTTATTCTCATGGATCTTAGTAAATATATTTAATATCCTCCTAATATGATTAGAGGACGCTCTTCCTGGTATAAAACCCACCTGATCCTCGGCAATCAAGAAAGAAATTATATTCTTGATTCTTTTAGCAATAATTGAGGCATAGATTTTATAGTCATTATTTAATAGGGCAATAGGTTCGATAATTGGTTATTTCTTCTGGGTTTTTATTATTCTTTAGAATAGGAGTAATATTGGCTACCAGCATTTCCTTAGGTAATTTACCAGTATTAATTGCTAAATTATAACATTCTACCAACCCCTGAGCCAGTCTATTCCTATACATTTTAAAAAAAGAGTCCGTGAACCAGTCTGGGCCTGGTGCCTTATTTTTTTTCATAGTATCTATCGAGTCAGTAACTTCTTGTAGAGACATCTCTGCATTTAGTTGATCTAATTGTAGCTCGTTAAGTCTAGGGATATGAATACTCAAGAAATAGTTATTTATATCCTCTTGGGATAATATCATCCGTAGATTATATAGATTATAATAATAATCTCTAAATACCATTCCAATTTTCTTAGGATCTAATATGGTATAATTTCCCTGTTTTATTTTTGTAATTAGTTTATTTTTTTGTCAATTCTTCACTTTATTGGTAAGAATCTTATCAGCCTTATTCCCCTTATAATAGTAGTTCATCCTCATAATCTGTAAATTTCTGTTTATTCTAGACATCAAAATTTCATTAATTTTATTTTCTATGATCCTGATCTGATTTGACATAGATCTTACAGGGGCAGCGATATTTTCCTTGTAACATTCACTCAATTCAATATATAGACCAGATAAAGATTCTTGTCTATTTTTCTTATCTTTTGCTTCTAGACTAATTACATGGCCCCTAATAACGCTTTTAAATGCGCACCATTTTATGTCAGGAGACACTTCATTATTGTCATTATCCTTCCAATACATGACTATCTCCTTAGCAATCTGTTCCCTATTCACTTAATAACTTATTATTTAATTTCCAATCTGGTCTTTGCTTTAAAATATTGTTCTTTAGCTGTATTTTGACCAAATTATGGTCCGACCACGTGACCGTACCTATATTTGTAGACTGCACTTGTTCCAATAAGCTTCGATCTCCAAATATAAAATCTATTCTTGAATATGAGCAATGCGTCTTACTAAAACACGTAAAATCTTTCTCTGAAGGATGAAAAATCCTCCAAGAATCATAAAGCCCTTCATTTTGAATAATATTGCAAATTTTTTTTTGCCAAATTAATAACATTTCTAGAGGGACTTTTAATCCTTTCAGAGCTTCTGTCTAAGTTAGGGTCAATTGTCAGATTAAAATCGCCCATAACAATAGTACGTCCTTGCTTAATTTTTTCTAATTGTGCAAAAAATTTGTGTAGAAACTGAATCTGAGAAGTATTCGGGGCATAAATATTCGCAATTGTATATAATTGATTTTCTATTGTACATATAAGAATAATCCATCTACCCATCTTATCAGTTTTCACATGCTTTATAGAGAGGTTTAATACAGATGAAAAAAAAATAGCTACTCCCCTTTTTTTTTGTCTTTAAATGAAGAACAGACTGAAATAGGAAAGTCTTTAAAGCTGAATTTTATCTTATCATCTCTCCGCCAGTGAGTCTCTTGTACTCCGACAAATTGCGCATTTTCTTTTTTTGCACGTTCAAATAATAATCTCCTTTTTTGTGGAGAATTCAAGCCCTGTGCGTTTATTGAAACAACACTAACCATGTGTTTCTAATCCTACTTTTTCCTTCTCTTTCCATATTCTA